TTCAAAGAGTGAAGGGCACCCTTGACAAGTCCTCTTGGGCCACCAAGTCCTCTCCTAGAGGATCTATCGGGTAAGAAAAAGGATATGTAGATCCAAGGCCTCAAGATTAAATTCAAAGGCATCAACTAAACTTAATACTTATTGCCACGTTTGCTAACAAAGTCTCTCCACCACTTATATGGTTAGCCTTTTTAGTTCCCACATTGTTCAGTTTCTCCTATTGCTCTAGCTTCTGACCTTAATACGAAGCCATCTCTAGTGCCTTTATTTGCCATTTGCATACTAAATGAATATTTATAATAATTAATCACTTAATATTTCTAGTTTTATTTTTATTATGTTTCTTTAAACATGATTTGGTAAGGTTCATGCTTATGTAAATTAAAACTTCTTTTAATAATATGTAAAAACTTTATTTGATAATTTCTTTATTAATTTTTTATCTTTTGATTTTTCGATATAATGTTTCAAGATTTATTTAATTTTAATTTATTTATAATTATCTTTATATTTTTATATTAAACAGTATCTTAAAATATAATAAACTTATACTTTTGAATTTAAGTAAAAATCTATTTTTAGTTTGAAAATTGTTGAGGACATTCTTAGAATATTATTTTCCTTATGGCTGAGATTAAATCTTATAATATAATCAATGGCTAAGATGCATTATATAGTATTTATAAAAATTTAAATTTATATAAGATCAACTGTTCCTAGTGGCTCAGATCATGGCACTAGGACCTTTGCCACCACATTTATACTCTCCTAATAAGTACCAAGTCATGGCCTCAAGGTGGCAGACAAAATTTTAATAATAATGCATTTCAAAGGACATTAAAATTTCCTTATTAGTGATAGAGAGTAGCAACTGGTGAAGATGCATTTACAGCACACTCATATCCAGCAGAGAACACTATAACTCTCTCCTCTATCACTAGACATAATCAAGGGAAATGGGAGCATGGATAGCTCTCTCTTGCTCATGGACTCATTTGATAGATTTGATATAAGACCTCTAGCCACATGTTCCATAGCTAGCTAATTTGTGTGGAGAAACATTGCTCATTATAGCATTCTAGCTAAAGTGGGGTAGGTAGGCAATTTGAGCTCAAGAACAAGCTTGTATCCGTCATTAATTAAAAAACCTTATATAGAAAACCACTATTATATTCTATTCTGTCTTTTATAATATATTATTAAAGTAATGTTGAAGTGCTACAAGATCTAATAAATTTTTTCAGTTAGCAGAAAAACTTAATTTTCTTTGAATTTATCATAAAATTTATGAATTTTAATAAGGCTCTGTCACTCTTAATCTTAATATGAATAATTAAGAAATTAACATAATTATTTATCATTTATCAATTATCATAACACCTTAAAAATCTTTTAAAAAAATTCCAGCATCCAAAATGCTATCAAAGCTAGCACTCACAACATACTAAGATTGTAGTGGCCAAAGTTGTACATGAAAACATCTCAAACAAGATCTATTAGTTGTGTAAAGGTTTGAAAGCATGATATATGCTTCTGGCTCATCAAGGCCATCCTTCCTTAAACCACATCTTGGCACAGCTTTGAGGCACTGTAAGCAAACAGTTGACCTCTATTTCAAGCAGGTGTCACGACTGCTCAAGCTCAAGGCTATCAGCAATGCATAAATACCATTCTCAAGCTATAGATCATCAACTTCCAAACCATATGACTATAGATGATTAAAACTGTTAGGATCATTGAGCTGGCCTTGGTCCAGCATTCTTGAAGATACAGATATATAAATGATGGGAATGATTTCAATGAATTCTTCTTTAATGCTTTATGGGATTTAACAATCTAATTAGTTCTAAGCATTATACCCTGACAACTATATATTGGTATATCCTAGGATAGTCTAGTATATACTGTCGTCTAATAGTATATAAACATTTTAAACTTGAGATTAGCATGTGAATAGAGTCTACGTTTTTTAATGAAGAAGAGTCTAAAGCTGGAAGAGTAGTACTCACTTCACACTCCCTGATTCCAGCACAAACCTAACTCCTGTAAAATTTGAGAAGGATGCTGGCAGCAAAGGAGGATAAAGGCAATGTGAGTGACAGTCACTCCTGGCTCACCCTCCACACAAGCCCTTTCCTTTCCAGAATTTTTTCTAATCAACAGAGTTTGTTCTGTGGCTGGAAACAGCGAAAGAGCTTCAAGCAACAAAACTTCCACAGTGGTGTTTATTTTCTTTCGATTAATAATTTTTTCTGCCACCTTTCTTAGTATCTTTCTGTGTTGAAGACAAATGTATTAATCGTTCTATTCACAAAGCTCCAAGTCGATCACCTCCAGGTTGAAGCCCTTCTAATCCTCAACAGTTCTCAAGTTGTTGCAGATTAAAGAAGTCTAAAATCTTTCTTGGCTCCAAAATTAGTCATCAAAGCTTTTAGGGTATTTAGAGTGATTGTTCAAGGATGGCACACGGAGCACAGAACTTCGAGTGGAAATGCATCGCGAGGATGCATCAAAATGAAGGAAAGAACCAATGAAGTGGTCTGCAGCGACTTAAAATTTCTTCCATACGTTCATCCTGTGCTGGACGTGGGATGTCATTGTATAAGACTGGCAGCTCCCCGAGGATGTCTGCATTGTGCCGCATGGAATCATAGGGCTGACAATGTCAGGCGGTCGTGGGGAAGCAAGAACGCTGGTTAAAGAGCATATTACTCCTTAGGGATATCAGTCCATCCAGCTGATCGAACGGGCAATTGATATTGCATTTCTGTTATCATGAGCAAAACTTTATTCTTTTTCTCAGCTTCCATGGCGATCGCCTGCGCGATGCCGAACTATTTCTTCTTCCGCCCTCCCGCGGATGATCCAGCATTCGCGTTCCAAGCGCCCGCATGGGACGATCAGGGTGATGGTCTCGCTTCAAATTACTACGCGCACTCTTGCCCTGGCGTGGAAGAGATCGCACGCGCTGTTCTTGAGGAGGCGGTGGGACGTGATGGGCGTGTTGGAGCGTCCCTTCTTCGTCTCCATTTCCACGATTGTTTTGTTAGCGTAAAAAGCGAAACCTTGCCTCTCTTTTATGAAAATCGTTTTGGTGTGTCTCTCTCTTCTAGGGCTGCGATGGATCCATTCTCTTGGACGCGACGCCGGAGCTCCAGAGCGAGAAGGCGGCCACTCCCAATCGCAACTCCGCCCGGGGATTCGAGGTCATCGACGCGATCAAGGCGGCCGTGGAGCGGGAGTGCGAGGGCGTGGTGTCGTGCGCGGATCTGCTGGCCATAGCCGCCCGGGATTCCGTTGTTCTGGTATGGCTTAGTGTGGATCTCGAGTGCCTGTTTGCTCGGAATTCGTGGTTCATCGTTCTTTCTTCGTTTTCGAGTTCCTCCTTTTCATTTAGTGAACGTAGCTTGCATTCTCTCATTCTATTCTTCTTCCGAGCTTGCTTTTCATTGATTCTTTCGAGAGAAAGTGTCGAGCTTGTCTCATTTCATTTTTTTCCCGCCTATTGCATTGCAATCTGGGTGATCCATTCGATACAGAGATTCGTGTTCTTATGTTACAACATGCAATGCAGCTTCCCATCCACCTGCATTGGCACTGGGAATGATTCGTCGGTGATCGTTCAAGTTTTCCTGCGATACTCTGATATAACTTTAAGTGTTCTTTGACAGAGCGGAGGCCATCCCTGGGAAGTCCTCTTGGGCCGACGAGACAGCCTCGAGCCCAACTTCAAAGGCGCCAACACGGACATCCCTGCGCCAAACTCGACGCTCTCGCAGCTCATCGCCGCCTTCGCCAACAAGGGCCTCTCCACCGCCGACATGGTCACCCTCTCCGGCTCCCACACCGTCGGTTTCTCCCGCTGCTCCAGCTTCACCCAGCGCCTCTACGACCACCAGAGGTCGGGCTCCCCGGACCCCGACCTCGACCCGGAGCTCCTCCGCCACCTCCAGCGCCTCTGCCCGCGCGGCGGCGACGCGAACGCCATCGCCATGCTCGACGTCTACTCCCCGGCTCGCTTCGACAATAGCTACTTCGCCAACTTGCAGCTTCGCCGGGGGGTGTTGAGCTCGGACCAGGCTCTCCTTACGGTGCTGTCGCCCTCTTCTTCTTCCGAGAACTTGTCCGAGGACTCCCTCGTCAGTGGGGTCCTGGTGGAAGCCTACGCGTACGACGAGTCGCGGTTCCTGGAGGCGTTTGGCGAAGCCATGGTCAAGCTGGGAAGCATCGCCCCGCTGACTGGCGATCGAGGCGAAGTCCGCCGGGATTGCCGCGTTGTCAACTCTGATGAGCAGTAGTGGATTCGCGCTCGAGCGGTTCATGTGGTCATACGTGAGAGGTACGTATTTCTCTGGGGGATTTGGTGTTGACATAGCTGGCCGTGCTATGCGTAGAGCTCTAGAGTTCCTAGATCTTTCTTATTCTTTTCCTTGTTTTGGTGGGTGATCGATTTGACTAGTAGGCGTTTAAAACGTTTCCTCGTTTGTGCGACTCTTGAGATCTCTGGAAAGTTTCTTCTCTTCGCGTGAATGGCTGATGCATTCCTCGTCTGACCATTCCAGTTACTTTGAATCTGGAGCTCAAACCAAGCAAAGGCTTTTGTCAAGAACTCGAGGAGAAAACTTTTTGATTGTTTTTCTTTTTCTCACTCTGCCCTCTCTATTTGTGCCAGGATGATGTTTAAGGTCGTTGACTCGTGTTGGTTTTTGGCAGGCGCGAGAGGTTTGTGTGTGGTTTTCGCCGACTCGAGGATTGGAAAAGACGAGCCAGGATCCAACAATATCGCAAAGCTCGCTAGAAAACTTTGCTCCTCGCAAGTAGTATGATCCACATTGTTTAAAAACGTTGCTTTGATTCTTGTACAGTTTAGATAACAGATGTAAAGTATGTTTTTGAAGACTTTGCTTTGATTTATGTACAGTTTAGAATTTAACATCTCCATGGTTGTTCCATGGAGATCTTAAGCATCTCTCTCGTTCACAGCCTTGAGATCCTCTCTTGCTCGTCGTCCCGCAACTCTACCATCTTGTAAGCCTCGATCACTCCCTCCTTGGTCGGCATGTTTGTGTGGAACGTGATCCCGCCAAAGCCGCAAGAGATGAGAAGCTCTTCCCACTCGTTGGGAGTTCTCTCTTGCCCGCCCGTGGTGTACGCCAGCATGATCATGTCCAAGTTGGCCTCCAGCGCTGCGAAAGTATCGCTCGACTTGTAGATGATATCCACGATTATGAGCTTCCCATCTTGCGGGAGCGCTCGGTAGCAATTGTTGAGGAGCTTGACGCAGTGCTCGTCGTCCCAATTATGTAAAACCGACTGCATTAATGCAAATCCAGAGTTAATTAATCTAGCCGCCAAATAAGAAGTAATAGCTTCACCTTGATGAAAATGGCATCCGCCGCGGGCACGCTCTCAAACATGTCCCCGCTGACGTGCTCCACGCCTGCAAATATAAGCCAGCCACGTGTAAGACTCTCACAAGCCCAGGTCAGCGGCAAGCATTTTTACCTTGGATTTTCGGCGCCGTCGTTATGACATGCGAGAGGTCGTAGTTAACTCCCTGGATCTGGGGGTATGCCTCCACGATCTTGGCCACTGAGTGGCCCATGCCGCCGCCAACGTCCACCAGCCGTCGGATGCCCGCGAATCCACGGTAGCTCTCGAGCACGAGCGACATGGTGGCGGTGCTAAACGCGATCATCGCGTCGTTTACCACGCGGTTAAACTGCGCGTCATGGCGGCCGGTGTCCCAGAAGTAGTTCCCGTTCGCACGATCAAACGCATCGCCGCCGTCGAGCACGACCTCGTGGAGCCTCTGCCACGACGCCTGACACCTGGCATGCATTTCCATGGCGAGCAGCGGGGCGAGGTAGTCCGACCTGGCGCGGCTCCGGACCAGCCACGTGGAGATTCCCGTGAGCGCGTAGCCGACGTGGCCGTCGTCCCGGCTGACGTGGCGGAGGACCTTTCTCTGCGACAGGAACCGGAGGATCCGGCGGAGCACCCCGAGCTGGGGAGTGGCGGCGGGGGCGGTGGCGGCGAATGAGGACGACGAGGAGATTTTGGCCATGATCTCCTCCGCGGTGGGAGGAATTGCGGCGTGCGCGACGATGTCGAAGACCCGGAGCTTGATGGCAGCGTTGAGCACAAAGGGCGTGACGAAGGCGTGGATCATGCCCAGGCATTCCATGCGGCCAAGGATCTCGTCCTCGGTAAATTGGGAATTGCGAACCTCGCCAATGGATTGGTCATCATCGTCGAAGAACAGAGGATCGTGGATCGATAGAGGCGACGTCATTGCCATTTGGATCGAGGGCGCAAAATCCGATCAGCAATTGGGGAGAGCTTTCGACAGCAGGAGACTTGCACTTGCGATCGATTCTCTCGATTTTTTAGAATCTATTAGGAGAACTGGGATTAGAACTGGAATTAGAGATGGAAGAGCTCCAAATTTGTAGAGTGGACCTCAGTTATGATCGTCGATTTATGGAGATGTGAGAGAGGAGGCTCCAATTTATAGCAGGGAGGGTTCACAGGAATTGGCTGGTTCCAGGAATGGCACCCGGCATGTAAAACCTTCGCATTTTTTTTCTTTCTCGGAGGTGGCAGGGTTGACCAGCGCAGTGCCAGTCAAACTCTCACTGTTTGCCGGTCAAACGTGGTGGTATAGAACTTTTACACCAAGTTTTGTTTCACTTGGACACGAAATAGTGAGCATCGTATAAAGAGTGGAAATTAGAAAAGAGTTTTTGCGAGACTGGGTCGCTGCAGCGATTGACACAAATTTGGGTTCGTCTTTGACGACTACACAATCGGCACAAATTCTGCATTGAAGACATGCGAGCGAAGATGGTTTGAATGGATGTTCGAGTGTACATTTTAGAAACTAGTGTCTGCCAATCCCAAACGATTTAGACAGGCATTGATGACAAAAGTATTCTACACATGGACTTTAATCTTGTTTTCTGTTTTCTTGGATGCTAATCACAGAGACTTTATTCAAGGAGGATTTCCTTAGCATTAAAGTCAACTATCAAACTCGAGTTATGAGGCCTTTGCGTTCGAAGCTGTCAACGCAATCCTCAAACATTTGCTCCAGCGACTTGAATTGGATCCCAAGATCGTCCTGAAGCTTTGTGGAGTTGAATCCCGTGAAATATGACGACCTCGATCCTGCAAGCATGCAAAGGAATGAGAACTGCGAGAAAAATAGAAAAATTTGTTGCGTGATCTTACTCGTCGAGGGGGGGAGGAGGTGGACGATTTGAGCAACGTCGTCGAGATGAACGTATCCAGCCTGATCGAAACAGTCCGTGGCTCCTACAATGTGTTTGGAATCTCAATCTACAATGTGCCTTGGACGAGAGAAGTTCTCCCACGACGCTGGGAGCGATTGTGATCACCTCTATGCCGTTTTCTTTCCCAAACTCGAGTGCTGCTTGCTCGGGTAGAGTCTTTCCCAGACCATACCACATTTGGACTTGAAAAACTTGTAAGAATTCGTTCTTTCTTGCTTGTGGAAATAAGAATCTTACCTCAATCTCACGGCAGCAGTCTGGGGAGCTCCACACCGATTCATCAAGTCGTTCCTCGCGCTAACAGAAGCCATGGATGACGTGCACACCACTCGCTTGACTGTTGTGGATTGTTTCCAGGCATTGAGCACGTTCAGAGTTCCAAGCACTCATGGATCAACAATCTCGGTCTGGAAGAAGAACCACAAAGACAAGAAAAAGCGAACCAGTAAAAGTTCGAGATACAAGACTAGACCATAGCTGGCAGAGAGCTGTTGAATCGAAGGAGTCAAGCAAAGTTACCTCCTTGTAGCTGAAAGTCACGGCCCGCGAGATGGAAACTTGGACAATATTGTCAAAGGCGCCTAATTCCGTGACAAGGTCGGCCTTCTTTCTCTCCCCCGGAAGCTCGCACAAACAAGAAAAGCAATTTCTAAGTAGAATCGATTAGCCTGAGTACCCCGACAACGTGATGTCCCTCCTTCAGTAGCCGCTTCACGAAGGAAACCAGATGCCCAAACCTTCTTCTCGTTCGCCATCGCCATGGAATGACCCTAAAGTTGAACACGGCTCTCTCTCACAAGAATTATCAGTAACCGGGAAACAGTGCTTTTTAACTATTCAAGCTGGACAATGAAATGGAACTTTCATTCCCTTCGCTTGAGCGATGATGTCTATTAACCTGTAAAGCTAAAACATAAATCTGGGATGATTCATCTACCTGGTAACTAATAACAGATGCGGAATAACTATCACATTGTCGGGCTGAACCACCTTTCTGTCCTTTGCAGGCCTCAAACACACATTACAAAAGCGCAAAGAGTAAACTCCTCACTAAATTGAGTGAAAGGTTACCTGCCACTGTGTCAAGTGCCTTAATCAACATGGCAAAGGTCTTTCTGATATAGTAATCAATGGAGCAAAATCAGTATATGCTCTGCCATAGCAAGAGTTTGATATTGAAGAAGAAGAGCCTTTGCCTCAAACCAACCAAGTTGGCTAAGTAACGGGTCAGCACCAAAGTCAGAGATCAAACAAGGCTAATGCCAACGGTCTGTTGGCAACTTACCCTTGAAAATCCAATACCCAACCCAAGCCAAATAATGCTAATGATTTTCATAGTACTTGTAAGATAGATAAATATAGAGTCCGTAACTCCGAAGAGCCATGCAGTCGTTCCTCTAAGACCTGTAGGAATCTGCAGAAATTGGCCTTTGATGGATCGCCCAGAAAGTTGTGCACGTGGAGAGCATCCAGCAAAAACGTCAAATGTAAAAGTTGGAGCATTTTTTTTTCTTGCAGGAAGAATTGAGACAGAGAGAGATATTAACTTTTATCTTCTTTGTTTTAATTCTTGGATCAAATCAGAGAGATTTTATTCAAGGAGAAGAAGTGTGTTCGTGTTATTTGAGTTGCAGTAAACTACTAACTCAAAGTTAAGAGGCCTTTGCGCTCCAAGCTCGCAATGCAATCGTCAAACATTTGCTCCAGAGACTTGAATTGGAGCCCAAGCTCATCTTGAAGCTTTCTGGAGCTGAATCCCTTGAACTCTGCCAGAGAGACGACCTCGATCCTGCAAGAAAGCAAAGGAATGAGAATAAAACAGCGACAGAAAACAAAGCTTTTTTTTGCGTGATCTTACTCGTCGGTGATTTGGTGCTTGGGATACCGCTTGGACAAGAAGCTGGCGAGGTCGATAGTACTCATGTTGATCGCTGAACAAACGTATCTTCCACTGGCTTTGGGATTTGTATAAGCGAGGAGGTGAGCTTGAGCAACGTCGTCGAGATGGACGTATCCAGCGTAATTGAACCACTGCTTGGCTCCTGCATGGAATCTGAAATCATTTTGTTTTTCTTCCGAGATTGTAATTAAGGCTTTACCTTGGAGCTGTAGGATAATATCAGCAACGCTTGCGGTGGCCCTGGACGAGAGTAGTTCTCCAACGATTAAGCTGGGCGCGATTGTGATCACATCTAAGCCGTTTTCTTTCCCAAACTCGAGTGCTGCTTGCTCGGATAGAGTCTTCCCCAGACCATACCACATCTAGACTTGAGAAACTTGTAAGAATCTTTGCTCATGGAAATAAGAAACTTACCTCGATCTCCCGACAGAAGTCCGGGGCGCTCCAAACCGATTCATCCAAGACGTCATCGGGCTTGAAGTCGTTCCTCGCGCTAACAGCAGCCACGGATGACGTGCACACCACTCGCTTGACTGTTGTGGATCGTTTACAGGCATTAAGCACGTTCAGAGTTCCAAGCACGCATGGATCAACAATCTCGGTCTAAGAAGAACCAAAGAACAAGAAAAAAAAAACAGTAAAAGTTCGAGATACAAGACTAGACCGAAGCTGCCAGAGAGCTGTTGAATCGATGGAGTCAAGCGAAGTTACCAGTGGATCCTCCTTGTACCGGTTAGTCACGGCAGCCGCGATATGGAAAACTCCATGGCAGCCTTGGACAATATCGTCAAAGGCGCCTGGCGTGATAAGGTCGGCCTTCTTGAGATCCAGCCTCTCTCTCGCCCCCGGAAGCTCCCACAGGTGGGCAGTCTTGCTCGCATCGTCTATATCACAAACAAGAGAATGAGGGGTTTCGTCTCGTTTCTATGTACCTGGATCGCGCACAGTCCCGACGACGTAATATCCCTCCTCCAGTAGCCGCTTCACGAGCCAAGATGCCAGGAAACCAGAAGCGCCAGTGACACACACCTTCTCGCTGTCCATCAAATGGCCCTAAAGTTTGACCACGGCTCTCCCACACAAGAATGATCAGTAACCTCTTAGTAAACAACGGAGCAAAAAGCGAACCGCTCTTTTATAAAACTTATGCGTTTGATTGAGTTTGCTTGATGTTCCATCAACTTTGTTTTTGCGTATGCAATTGTCTTGCTGACGACATCAAAGTTCGACAATACACCAGACTGAATAACAACAAAGTTCCTCAAAGTTGCTGACGAACAACATCCCACAAAGTGATGAAGTAACACAACACCAAGTTTTCACACCAGTACGTGAGAAGGTCCAAAATAAAATTAAAAAAACTATGTATGCCCGCACACCAGCACTGCAATAGTGGCTCAAACAATGATTCAAGTATCAAAACTAGACGGTCATTGCCTCGAGGAGGGAATACACACTGTTTCCGAGAAGGATCCCGAATACCATACTTGCCTCGGTACAGCACTCGTTTTCCAGCCATGCCCTGGCTCCGCTGGGTTGTTCCTTGGCCTTTTTCAAGAGTTTCTGCTTCTCATGGGGAAGGGTCTTTAAGACTAGCTTGATAGCCCCACTGCACATACTTCTAATTTCCTTACCAGTTCCTTAAGAATGTAGATTTCATCCTGTCCAAGGTTGGTAAGCACTGGCCAGCTCAAGCTCATGCGTCGTGTACGCTACTTTCCCTTCCTCTGCACTGTGTGAAACAGCTGCGCTCTTGGTTGGGGCTGGGCAGATGTACACAGTGTGCACCACGCAATGTCCAGTATACCATCTGTCTTCCTGTGTGTTTCCGGACTAACAGTGACCTGGAGTGCAAGGATATGTAACACTCGCTGCTCGTTTACCCACGCTAGCACGCGATCCACATACTTGAACGAGTTGTATACTGCCTGGTGTGGCTTCCAGTTATCTGGCCTGATAATGCTAGTTCACCCTTCAAAGCTTTTCAGCTGGAACACTCCGATTTGTTGCCCTTGGAAGTTCAAACCGGTAGCCTGGATAGCCTCTCCAACCCACTTCCGGCCAAATCACATATCTTTCCTTGAGTTTGTTCATGAGGTTGGCCTTGAGCTTTGGCAGCTGTCCTGAAGGTAAGCAGGACCATTTCCAGTCTCTCTTTTCGTCCAGGTACTTCTCCGGGCTTTCCAGTTTGGCTGTCATGTAGAGTTCATTTCCCGTCTCCGGATCCAGTAGAGAAATGCCCAAACGTCTCTTCTTGCGGAAGAATTCGTCTTCAACGTACTCTTTACAAGCCTTGTCTAGGAGAAACAGGGACATTGGGTGCTTGTCAGCATAAAGAATAACATCCGCTAGGATGCTGCCGAAGCATCTTGCCAAGGGTCTGTTGCAGAAATGAAGTATATGTAAATGTCTGGATTTTTGTGTGTGGAATGCTTTGTTGACTTCATTGCTTTGGTATGGTTATGTACATAATGGTATGGGTGTGATGCTTGGCATTGGATGGATGACTTCGTTTTGTTTGTTGACATGGAGACTTGTTGTCACTCATTTCCACACTCCTTCTCAAGGCTCTCACTGTCAGTCAAATGGAGATATTTGAGGAAGACTTCATGTTTCACTTGAGGTAGGGACTTCGTCAGATGAAAGAAGCCGTCTGGCTTAAAATGTTACTGCAGGGCTTAAGGATACAAATTTCAATAGTACGTTGGCAATAGTGTTCACTAGGGATGTGAGATTTCACTCATGCACTAAGCACAATGGAACCATCAACTTGAATTTTGCTCAACCACCTCAATGGTTGCACAAGGACATCACAGTGATTTGCTGCCTTTTGAAACATCAACTAACCACATTATGGTTATACATATTTCCTCTTCCATATTTCAGTGTGTATTTCCTTGTACCACTCATATACCTCATGATCTACTTCACAGCAGCCCGAGACTACTCCCACACCAAATGTGAGGTTAGGCCTAGTTGAGACCATCAAGTAGATGAGACTCTCAACCATTGAACAATATAGTGTCGTGTTGTCCTCTTCGGGAGTGTCATTTGAAGTTGATGTTAAGCTAGAAGCCTTAGACAACTTTGAGCCTACTTCCATAGAATTATCCACTCAAGTTAGCATTAAGCATAGAGTACCTTTGGAGAATGTCATGGATGTATTTCTCGTTGGAGAGCTTTAGTACTCCACGTTACCTATCTAAATTCCCAAGTAGTAGTGCAATTCTCCCATATCAGTCATCTTGAATTTGGCAACAAAGTAAGTCTTAATCCAGTTGATGAGCCACATCTGATTGGAGGTAATAGTGTATCATCCACATATAAGGCTAAGAATAGAAATCCTTAACCATCTTGATATAGAGAGAATAGTCTCTAATAGAGTGTGATTGAGTTGCTTTGCCATGCTATTCTGCTAGGGAGTATTAAGCTATTGTATACTGATGAACAATGCCAGCCTCAATCAGAAAGTTCAAAAACTCACTGCTCATGTACTTGCCACCACCATCTGTGTGTAGCACATGGATTTTCCTTCCAGTAAAGGTCTTTACCAAGCTCTTGAAAAGCTTGAAGTGGTCAAACACTTCACTCTTTGCATTCACCATAGTGTACTTAGAATGGTCATTGATAAAAGATATAAAGTACCTCTTGTGGCTAAGTGTTTCCATAGGTAGGTAGCACATGTCATTATGAACCAGATCTAACAAGCCTACTTCATGGTTCTTGATGTGAATGGAAGATAAATTTGCTTGTCAAGATGGCCAGTTTCACACATGCCCAAATGATGCTTTCTGAGAGCTTGTTGCAAGCTAAGGTGTGCAAATCTCATTCATTGACATGCCATGAGGATTGAAACAAACCCATGTAGATGTCTGGATCTGTGTGTGTGTAATGCTTTGTCGACTTCATTACTTTGGTATGGTTATGTACATAATGGTATGGGTGTGACACTTGGCATTTAGTGTTTTGCATGGATGACTTGGTTTATTTGCTGATGAGGAGACTTGCCATCACTCATCTCCACAAGGCCATGGAATGGTGGTGATCAAGTTTTCAGATGGACCTCTCAAGGAGGTTTATCACATTCACTTCATCACCATTAATTGCTGCTTTACCACCACTTTCTTCACAGAGGTGGTGGTGGTGCCATTATGTGTGTTTGAAAAGTAAGCACTGAAGTGGAAATATACTTTGCATAAA